GCACTGTCCCTCAGCTCTTCAGCTCAAGGCGAGCGCTCTACCACTTGAGCTACAGCGCCACTTCCGGTTTTCTGGTGGTTTATTGGAGATAGGAGTCTCCCGGTCTCTCCTGCCCGGGCTGGCTTTGAACCGCGATTCTCAGATCTCAGCCTCCTGAGTAGCTAGGATTACAGGCGTGAGCCACCAGTGCCCGGCTGCCGCCACTTAATTTTTTTAAAAAAAATTTTTGTCAGTTGTGGAGCTTGAACTCTGGCCCTGGGCCCTATCCCTGAGCTCTTCTTGCTCAAGGCTAGTGCCTTATCACTTTGAGCCACAGCTCCACTTCAGGTTTCCCCGATGGTTAATTGGAGTCTCATGGACTTTCATGCCTGGATTGGCTTTGAACTGTGATCCTCAGATCTCAGCCTCTGGAGTAGCTAGGATTACAGCCATGAACCACCAGCACCTGGCTCAATTTAACCTTATTTAACCCTTTGGGGTTAATGTTCTTCATGAATAAATTAGTCAGTGCTTACAAAGAATTTTAGTCTATCTAAAACATGGCATGATATAACTCTGTTGACCACATATAAACCTAATTTTTCTACTTAAGTGAATTTTATTGTTTAGATAATGTGTTTAATTAATTATTTTTTGTATAGTTGCTCTTGCATATGGAATCTATAAGCAAGATCTTCCTGCCTTGGAAGAGAAACCAAGAAATGTAGTTTTTGTAGACATGGGACATTCTGCTTACCAAGTTTCCATCTGTGCATTTAATAGAGGAAAGCTGAAAGTAAGTATACTGTTTTCCAGAAGATTATATTAAGACTATAATGACACATTTTTGAGGGGCTAAAGCTAAAATACTTGGTTGAAAAATTTTGTTTGACTAATGGAGTCTTTCTGTGAGCCAACTGAGTTGGAAACTAGGTATTGTAGGGCAGAGTAGGGGTTGTGAGCCTCAAGTAATTTATTGCAAGTTGCCATGATGTGAAATAAAGTACATAGACTTTGAGGAAAAACTATTAACATCCCCGAGTCTTAATTTTCTCATAATATAGATAATACAGGAGAAGCAGTGTTTACCTTGCAGGCTTATGAGGATTCTTTTAATGTATTCCCTTGGTGTGTTTTGCCCTGATGATTGGAAGGGTGGTGAAAAGGACTTACCTAGCTTCTTGATTGACTGGTTCTCTACTACTTTACCAGCCTGGCATTTTGGTGGTAGTTTGGAGATGATATCTCTGGACTTTTTTTGCCTAACTGGCTGCAGACTGCAATCATCTGGATTTCAGTTTCTTGAATAACTGCCCATTGGCACTTAGGACTTTCCATAACCTTTGGATAGGGCCTCAAATTCTTGCCTGGTGGCCATCCTTTTGGGGCTGATCTCCTCAGTCTCAGCCTTCCAAATAGCTGGATTATAGTCATGAACCACTATGGTGGGCCCTGTTTTTCATCACTTTAGATAGAAAATTCTGACCATAATTTAAATCCTATGGGTTAGTGACAGATTTTTTTGTGAGCCAGTCCTGGGACTTGAACTTACAGATGAGATACTGTCACTGAGCTTTTGCTCCAGGCTAACGCTATAGCATTTGAGTCCAGCTCTACTTCTAGCTTTTTGATAGTTAATTGAAGATAATAGTTCCATGGATTTTTCTGCCCAGTCTGGCTTTGAACTGTGATAGTCAGATCTCAGCCTCTTGAGTAGGTAGGATTAACAGGCATGAGCCACCAGCACCTGGCAATAATTCACTTTTAATTTTTAAAATTGACTTATTGGCTGACACCTCAGTTTTCTGAATCTTGTGATTGTCTTTAAAATTAATTGTTAAGAATATTTATTATAGAACATCAAAACTTCAAAAATTCTGTAAAGAAAAGACAGTCTCACTGCTCTTTACCAGTTTGATGTATTTAATTCAAGTTTTTAAAAAAATGGAATTGGAATCACATTTAATTCTGTGTCTTATTTTTCAGCTAATATTAAAAACATTTCTTTCTTTCTTTTTTTTTTTGTTGGTCCCAGGGCTTGAACTCTGGGTCTGGGTGCTGTCCCTCAGCTCTTCAGCTCAAGCCTAGCGCTCTACCACTTGAGCCACAGCCCCACTTCCAAGAAAATTTCTTAGATACATGAAATTGTTTGAAGAGACTTATTTGCCTACTTGTATTAATAAGTTTAATTAGATCTTAATTTGCTTCTAATTGGAATGTTGAGAACCGAAGCATTCATAGACTTCTGTATTATATAGAAACCAAATTGTGATTAAGAATGATTTGATCCTTCTAATAGTAAACAGATAGTAAACAGTCTGGCTTTCAGTATTATTCACAGCTTTTCTGCAGTGTTAAGACTAGAAGTGAGTACATGATATATTAATGTATTTGATCTTGGATATGGAATTGTTACTGGGAAGTCAGTTGGTATAGTGAGAAAAGGGGTGGGTTTGAAATCCACTTCTACCATGTTAGTAGCTTTGTGACCTATAGATCTCATGTGTTTAGATATGTGGCATACACTATAAACTAGAACGTAGGATGTCTCTATTACAGGGTAGTCTTAGCAAGGATTATCTGGTACACATGGCTTTATTTACCCATAATAAATGTACCCCTGATTTTTAAACTCATGACTAAATAGGTGCTCTAATAAATTTTAGAATTTATTAGCTATTATGTTAATTATCCTCTTTTCCCTTCCTAAGGTGTTGGCCACAGCATTTGACACAACACTGGGAGGCAGAAAATTTGATGAGGTGTTAGTAAATCATTTCTGTGAAGAATTTGGGAAGAAGTATAAGCTTGACATAAAGTCTAAAATCCGTGCATTATTACGACTGTCTCAAGAGTGTGAGAAACTCAAGAAGTTGATGAGTGCAAATGCTTCAGATCTCCCTTTAAGCATTGAATGTTTTATGAATGATGTTGATGTATCTGGAACGATGAATAGGTAACCATATTTTCATGTTGTGGTAAACTGTGATTTTTTTTTTCCCCTCATCTCTATTTAACAAGTTGTTAAGATTACCATGGTAGTTAATATGATAACTTCATTTCTTTTTCTTTTTTTTTCCTTTTTTTGTCAGTTGTGGGGCCTGAACTCTGAGCCTGGGAACTGTCCCTGAGCTCTTCAGCTCAAGGCTAGTGCTCTACCACTTGAGCCACAGCACCACTTCCGGCCTTTTCTGTGTATGTGGTGCTGAGGAATCGAACCCAGAGACTCTTGCATGCAAGGCAAGCACTCTACCACTGAGCTACCTTTCCAGCCCCTGATAACTTCATTTCTGAGTGTAAAAATTATAGGCTGTAAAATCTTGGTTTTATGTAAAGATTGAATTTGATTATTTTAGTAATGAAGACTAAGTTTTTTTTGTGAATGCTCCAGAAAGTTGGTAGTTCTTTGCCTATGCACCCCTTTTCATAAAACTAAGGCATTGTGCTTTAAATGCAGAGTTAAATTGAATTTAACTAGGCATTGGTTAAGAAACTGCTTTTTTTTCCTGGTTCAAGGTCACTGGCAACAGCCAGCCCTCTTTTGCAACACTATAAGAATTCTGGGTAGTTGATATTGAAGGCCATTTTCAGAAACTGTTACTATGTTGCTTGGATGGGGGACTGATATCTTCCTTTGGCTGTGAACTCTGAACTCCACTAGAGTTCAGACACAACTGATGGCATTTTTGGGGAAGTATGTCTGAGTGATCCTTATAACATTACAGATAGCATTTATTATTGAGCAGTATCCAATCTTTTTTTTTGAGGGGGAGTCACTTTTTTTTATTGTGAAAATACCGTACGGAGGGGTTACAATTACATGGGCAAGATAATGAGTACATTTCTTTTTTTTTTTTAATTTTTTTTTTTTTGGGTCCGGTCATGGGGCCTGAACTCTGGGCCTGGGCGCTGTCCCTCCGCTCTTCAGCTCAAGGCTAGCACTCTACCATTTGAGCCACAACACCACTTCCGGCTTTTTTCTTTTTTCTTTTTGCTTATGTGTTGCTGAGGAATCGAACCCAGGGCCTCAGGCATGCGAGGCAAGGGCTCTACCACTGAGCCAACTTCCCAGCCCCTTGTTATTTATTTTGTTTAGAGGAATGCCTTCTTTGCTTAACACCTGTATCATAAGTGTTTTTGGACACTACGTCAAATATAAAAAATTAAATCCATTAGTATTTTTTTTCTGTACCCTCATAGTATTTAACTGAGTTACTTGTTTGGGAAGGAACACTCTTATTGTCTGTGTGTAGCAACGCTTTGGTTCTTCTTTCTTTCTGAGTTGTGGACTGGTAGGATTAGAGAAATGGGTATCTTAGTGACTAGATATTTGGGAATGGCACTAAAGTAGAAGAAATTGAAGCAAGTATGTTGGGAGAGAGGAGGACTTGGAAAGTCCACCAGAGATGTTAGGAAGCGTGGGTCAACTTTTTTTTTTTGGTCGGTTATGGAGCTTGAACTCTGCCCCTGAGCTTTTCAGCTCAAGGCGCGGGCTCTACCACTTGAGCCACAGTGTCACTTCATTTTCTGGTGGTTTATTGGAGATAAGAGTCTCATGGACTTT